GTCTTGGCCTGATCCAGACAAGGACCATATGAAAACCCATCAGCTATGATACATCATTAGCACAGATAGGACCGAGCCCGACCAAGCCGCACTCTTTCAAAAATGCTCAGTTTTGGCAGCTACACCTGCAGAATAGTACCACGTTACTCCATTGCAACATTACACTGGCTATATTGGGATACATTACTGAATGAGTATACCTTTGGCACCAATGAACATAAAGGGGTTCATCTGATTATTTTTTACTCCTGCTGCCAGCATACGAGATTTGATCTCTCCTCAAAACAGTTCTGATAATCGGAAGATAAAATGTGCAAATACATTTTTGTTCTTGACTTGAGAGCAAATAAATTCAATGAAAGGAATAGTTACCCCACTGCTTCTTAGAACCATCAATGATAATTCTATTTTTACTAATTTTTATTGATTATATTTAAGGTGATACATAAAACTTATTCCCCCGTCACTTTATAGTACACTAAATACATAATTAATGTTTCAATTTTAATAACATTGAACATAAACAACCACTAGATAAAAGCAAAGAGTATCTTTTTACTGTCATCTAGCAGTTTTCCATATTTTTATGTGACTCAATCTGATAGACCTTTACCTTCTTTCATTTTACATGATGCATTAAGTCTTGTCAAAATATATAAGAATGAAAATATCCTATTGTTAACATGTTTCAGATTCTCATAATATAGTATTCTTTCATGCAGTTATCTTATTATAAGAATTCTGTATTGGTTATAAATTATTCATATAAATAATACAACATATCAAAGCTTAACTATTTAAAAGTAGCCCAGTAGCATAATATAAGTATATAAACCAAGAAGGTTTCCAGTGTAATAAAACTAAATTAAGGCTCTAAAAACCTTAAACATTCTATGATAATCCTGCATGACTGGTTGTTACAGCACAGCCTGCCACAGTGATCCCTACAACCACATGGAAAAGATTTTTGTTTTGTTATTTTAGTGCTAGAATTTGATGCTCTTTTTAAAAAGAAAAATTAATCGGGCACTTGCACTAAAATTTACAGTAAAAATATAACATGCTGACAAGGTTTTCCGTGTGGATAAGGTAATGCCAGTGTTCATCTTTGCTCATTGCAATTGTAGACACACAGTAGGGAGACTCACTTTATCACTACTTTGTCACTACTTCTGCTCAGGCTTTTGGGATCTCTCTCTCTCTCTTTCTCATTTTCTTTTAATATAACCCCAAATCTACCGAAGTCTGAAACAAAAGACAAACACTACAATTTACAGTCCAGGAATTCGTTTCGAGTATTAGTGCAGCACAAATCATTTACTGCTCTCTTGAAAAAAAAATCTGCTACTGATGACCCCAAACTTTTCCCATTTTAAGAATATAATTTGTGGCAGCGGGTCAGTTTATTCGTTAACTGGCGCTCTGAAATCTTTGCCAACTTTCATAGTATCCAGAGATCCACCAGGAGATCTAGATTTATCTTTAGCTTACCCATTGTCATAAATGATGCCTGAAGTTGTCTGTCAGAACAAAATCTCTGAGAAGAGAAACAAAAACGGCATGCCTTTTATAACAACCTGACGCTCTACACACAGGCACAAAATTATACATAACCATCCTTCCCTGCTTATAAACTCACATCTGGGGATCCTGAAAGTTGTCACTTGCCCAGCATTGGATTTTGGGTGCGCATGCCTCAACTCCATTAAGAATGTTCTGCCCCTTTCTGCAGGCATAGAAAACAAACTGAACTGTAACAAACAGAGATCAGGAATGGAAATTATGTTCCTTAAACCCAGCAAGAAGAATAATAGGTAACATATGAGCATTTTTCCCATCCAAATTCTCCAGCAACTCTTCTCCCCCACCCCCAGTAAAAGAGGGAGTATCTCACTACCATTAGCAAGCACAAGGGAATCACTATATAAACATTTTCCAATTGTGGCTGAAAAGATGGAGGGAAGCCTACTGAAATGTTTCTCTTCAAATGCTTGTGATCAAAGTCCAGAACTGTCATTAGTTAATCAATCTGCAATGGCATACAGAAAACCTAGGTGGTAGCATACAACTTCCATCACTTTTAGCAGAGGATTTAGACACCTAAATCTGGGCATTCATCCAAAGTTTAGTTGCAGTTGCATATTACATACCAGAAAAGATAATACCAAATCTGAGGCCCTTGCTTAACTATTTAACTGTGAATGAAGAAAAAACGAAAGTCTGTAAGTTTTAACAAGTTTTTTTAAAAGTTTTAAAAATTAAAAAGAGGATAAAGAGAGGGAAAAAGGGCCTTTCTGAACAACGCTGAGGAAAGATGGCTTGAAACACAGAGTCATGTAAAGGAAAACATAGTCAATCAATTCTAAAAACTTGAACCCAGCATATAATGGCTTTCCTTTCAGTAGCTGGTCCCTTCCCTTCCACCTCCATTTTTCTGATCTGTGGCAGGGAGACATGTCAAATGGTACAACCTGAACTTCTTCTAACAAAAGAATCAGAATAACAAATCACCTAAGAAGATGTCCTCATGTTCTCCACTGCAGTGTTCAGATATGTGGACTTCAACTCCCCGAATTCCCCAGCCAGCAGGGTTGGGTGGCTGGGCAATTCTGGGAGTTGAAGTCCACACATCTTAAAGTTGCTGAGGTTGAGGAACCCTGCAATGTTCCTCAACCTTGGCAACTTTAAAATGTGTGGACTTCGACTCCCAGAATTCCCCAGTCACCCAACCATGCTGGCTGGGGAATTCGGGGAGTTGAAGTCCAGACATCGTAAAGTTGCTGAGGTTAAGAAACACTGCTCTACTGACCAGATATTTATTTTATTCTACTTGAATCTAGCTTTTTTTCCAGGCAACTTTGATCTTTTTTCTTTTCCTTTTCCCCTGTTTTCCTGTGTATACAGGAAAAAGGAGGTGAGGAAAAGAAAGGAGACTGGGGCAAAACAGGGGAAATGAACAGAAGAATCCATCTGGCCCTGCCTTTCTTGGCAGCTCTATATGGATAGTCTGCAATGCCTGCTTTGTAATCTTCGTGTCCTTTCCCTCCAAAATAAAAACTAGTTTATATGACTATCATGCCATAATATTATGATCTTAAAGCTTAGTGATGATGTTTTGCTCAAATTCCATAATGTATTCTGATTAGTTTATCATAATTTAATTCCAATCCCTCCCTGGAGAAGAGTTGCAGCAGATGCTCTGACAACCTGAAGGGGTTTTGTCAGTGGCTTAGAAGAAGGGAAAAATGGCGGGACCTTAATCAGCAAGAAACAGAGCAAGTGGTGCCAATGGCAAAGCAAAATGCAACATGTGGTGCATGTAGCCTGGACTCATTCTTTGGCACCTTCTTTCAAATATTTTATTCAGCGATTTGCTTAAAAAACAATGGCTTTGCCTGAGACACCAATAGAGAATTAAGAATCTGTCTCTAATATTTCTTTTTCTTAAAGCCTCTTTCCTTTTTAACAAATTCAGATCAGAGAGGAAAATATTTCCAGTTGGTTGAATGCTTGCCCAAACAATATGCTGTAATAGTGGATTTTTGCAGTGGGCAGGTAATTGGACTAGGTCCCTTCCAATTCTGTGATTTTATGGATATTTGTAATATAGTCTCATGTATGCATATCTAGGAGTAAAGCTCTTTGAACTTCATGAAGCTTCTTCAAAGTAGATATATAGTTTTCCATTATTAGAGTGCATTAATCAATTAGAAAAATCTACTTCTTTCAGTTGGAACTATCTCCAAATTATGCCTCTATCTGCTGAATGAACCCTATCTCCATTTCTTAAGCTTTTCAGAAAAGTTCCTGTTCAGGCTCCCATAAGTTAGGAAGACAACAAGAGCAGCCATTTATAATAGTGTCAGGATGCCAGACTGCCACCTCCATCATTTTTTTTCACCAAGCCTTCCTGGAGACTCAAAGATGCAGCAGTGATACATTTTTTGATATATTTTAGGACTGAGAATTATTTAATTTTATTGTTGTTAGAAACCACCTTGTGATTTTTATCAGAAGAGTGAAATAATATGGATGGATGGATGGATGGATGGA